CTCACCTTCTCTCTCTCTCTCTCTCTCACCTTCTCTCTCTCTCTCTCTCTCTCTCTCTCACCTTCTCTCTTTCTTGTATAAGCGCACTTTTTTTTTTAATATCGATCTAACAAATTGGCGCGAATATTCAAATGATCGTTTCTATATCTCTCAGGTCTTTTTTTTTTTGTATTCATCGTCGAAGTTTATCTCTCTACCTCATATCTGTCCTATCTTATACTTTTCCTTTCTCCTTCTCTCTCTCTCTCTCTTCAACTCTATCGTTTTCTTTTTTTTTTTTTTAGCTCTAAAGACGCATATTATTTAGCAGAGTTGCTTAAAACTCATCTACAAAAATCTGTCGTAAACACGCTTTCTCGATCTTTAATCATATTATTATAATGTGAGATTATTTAATCGTTTCATACCGTTGGATCTTTACACATTTTATAATATGTTAATACATTATTCATATTATTAATCTCTTAGCCGCCACAATTTCCTTTAAATCTCATTACTAATCATGATGTTACTTGTGTATATGTATATATACATATACATAATTATGTAAATATATACGACATGCTTCATAACTTTATCGTCTGCTTCTTCTCACACACGAAAACTCATTGACTAACGTCATAATATAATGCTAAACTCTTGACGATATTTGAATATAATAATTCAATGAATACACATCAAACTTTCGACGAATATACCTATCATTCTCATTTTCTTTTCTTTGTAATAATGTAACGATAGAAAAAATGCACTACTAACACCATATTTCTTTCTTTCGTTCTTACACTTATTTTCTTTCTTTTTAACCACCAAATCTAAGAATCTGCGTGTTCCTTCTTTTTTTTTCTTTATATCTATTTATCTTACTTTTCCATTCGAAGAACACTTATTTTTAATGAAGAAAAAAACGAAGAAAAAAAGGAAAAAAATATATATATATATATACGTATATATGTATATATATGTATGTATATCGTGTCACGATTCTTGTTTATATCAATAAAGTTGTTCGAGAAAAATCTGTACAAACAACGAATATTCAATAATGCTGCAAGAAATTATAAACAATCATTTTTCTTTCTTTCTCCCTCTCTCTCTTTTTATCTTTTAGATACTATAAACTCGCGAACATGCTAAATTCTAGGTATTACATGTTTTCATCATTTTCTATCTTTCTTTCTTTCTTTTTTTCTTACTTTCTTTCTTATACTTAAAGAAAAATATAATCATAACGAAACTCTCGAAATGCGTAAAATACGATGACGTAGTAAAACGGATGATGTAGAAGAACGAGTCCTAGTCGATGTTACGGTAAATTATGGTGTCGGGGCATGTGAAAATTTCAGCTTATTTGGTGGTGGTGGTGTTGATGATTTTTGGGAGGCGGGAGAAGAGAGTTTTGAATATCGTGCGCTTATAAAACCTGCGTGGGTTGTTGCGCCGGTGTGGAAACAGTACCAGCAGAAGATGCTGGAGGTCCTATAGGTCCAAGATCTCCACCATTATTAGAGGCACCAGCTGGTGTCGATACACCAATCGCGGTTGCCGTCTTCATGAAGAATTTCTCTAATTTAACGATTATATGTTTGCCATACGTATACTTGCGGAGACTTCCTAAATGTGGGCGAATCTTGTGCATCAAAATTTTACGTTGCGCAGGTTCAGCTACGTCGATCATCTTCTGTACCACGTAATTTGCGTATTGATCTTTCATCATGACGTTTAGTGCACTAATATTACAGAACAAACAAAAATAAATTACGATCAATTGTTTTACCATTGTATACAATTAATACATGTCGCGAGCCCCATAAGAAAAGACAACTTTATGAAGGAGACTGTGAATGTCTCAATCTTTGTATTTTACATTGAAAATGAAAATGGCTCATCACGTCGATGTATTTAATAATTTAATATATTAAAATACAAAAATAAAAGATTCACTAATGAACTTACTTGTCATTGAAGCCACATACTTCCTCTATGAGTACGGCGCGTTCTTGTCTTGTAGCATGGGTAACACACTTTTCAACCACATTGCTTGCAAATTTGTGTTGAGATAATGCAAGTACTTTACCCCTAACGCTGCTAATTAATTGGGTTTTATCTTCTGGTTTGCCGTGTTCTAAAAATATAAAAATATCAAATTGATCATATAACAATTCAATTGCATAATCAAAATTATGGATAGAAATTAGAGATTAATTGTGGATTGTAATTTTTCACTTACCTAGTACGTGCTGGATGACGTAATTACCATACTGATCTTGTATAAGCTGATCTGTAGCAGCATGCAATTCTTGTAAAATTCCTTGTGTTTGTTCTGCAGTGCAGTGTTCCAATATACGTTGAATTACTCTACATCCGTATGGATGAGTACTCAGAGAATAAACTTGTCCAGCAAATGCACCAATAACGAATTGCAATGCTCGTGGTTCGACGCATTCGATACATTTTTGAACAACATGATTTCCATTTTGATCTTTCACACATTTCAATACGTGACCATCCAATTCTCGAACAATTTCTTGTTGCTGTTCCGGCCCAATAGATTCTAAAGCTTTTTGTATTACTCGACAACCATACATCTGTAGTGCCAATGGTAACACATGGCCTCGAACCTGTAGTTTGTTAATAATAATAATAATAATAATAATAATAATAATAATAATAATAATAATAATAATAATAATAATAATAATAATAATAATATATAT